ATGTTATCCACAACTCTGCATGTATTATCAAATATTCATTTGCTGACTCAGGCAATTCACTTGTTTCCTGAAGGGTTGTCAGATTATGTTTGCGGTCTTCTGTTTACTACAATAGGATGTGTTTCATGATTGGCTCTGGCTTTTCAGTTGTGGCTGATATGCTATTGGGACCTTCTGGGTTGAGATGCCATTCTTTCTCATGTACATTTACCTACTACTTCCCTGCATGACTTGTGCAAGGTACTTTTTTTACGTGAAGAGGTGTCTTGGATTTTTCCCGGGTTGAGTCTGTATGTTTCCATAATTCATTATCCTTGTTAGCTTTTCCATTTATCCCAAAGCTGTGGCTTCTCGTTCTTCATCCATTTGCAGTCAAGTTGTTACTTGAAGGCTTTTCAGAGGATTACAGCATCAGTGTGGGCTAGGCTTTTCCATTTTTGCCATCTATGGACACTATTTGCAATGGATTCATGGATCCTACAGGTTCTTTCATAGGGTCTGGCCCCTCATTTTCATTCCCCTTCCCTGTTGTCTCCTCATCGTGTTGCCTTCCCACAAACAGAGGATCCTGTTTCTTACCAGTGTCCACAGGAGGCAGTTTGGGATTTAGAGGCCATAGAACTTGAGGAACCTTCTCATCTGTTTGTTGTACCCAAAAAGATGGCAGATTGGCAACTGGTTATAGATTTATCATCCCTGAACTGTTTCCTGGTCATACCCAAATTCACAATGGGGGTCTTACTTCACCCATTGGTGGGTTTTCACTTCCAGGTTGTGGATGACGAAGGTCAACATGTCGGATGCCTATCTACACATTCCCATCTCACAGTCATCCCGGCATTTCCTATGATTTTGTTTATCAGGGGCATGTTTATCAGTTTTGGGCTCTCCCATTTGGCCTGGACTTGGTTCATTATGCTTTCTCTCAAGTAGTCAGGTTGTTCACTTGACTGCTTCATGCCAGAGGCCTTCATTTCCACCATTACATGGACAACCCGCTACTGTTCTGCCGTTCATACTCAGTTTCTTCTTCGAGAGGCTGCCAGAGTGGGTTGGCTCATCAAGGTGTAGAAGTCATTTCTTACACCCACACAATATCTGATTCACTTAAGTGTGTTTTTTCAATTCCCTCATCAATCAAACCCAGCCTTCTTCCCTTTGTTTACAGGATATGGAATGTTTTGTTCTCAGTCTCCTTCTCCTACTGCACAAGCAACCCTATCTCATTTGTTGTTAGTGGCTTCTCTCGAAGCTCTCATTCCTCTTGGTCACACCTACATGTGTCACCTTCAGAAGGTGTTACTCAACCAATGTAGCCTCATTTGGAATCCCTTAGATGCTCCTACTGCTCTGCCTCCCCACCTACAGGCGACTTTGCTTGGTGGTTGGATTGGATCAATACTACTATCGAAGTTCCTCTTTCACCTTCTTGACCAGATTGTCATCTTTTTATAGATGCCTCCCTTTTAGACTAAGGTGCATATCTCAACACCCAAGAGTCAATGGACACTGACTGAATTGTCCCTCCATATCAATGTCTTGGAATTTCTTGCCATTCATTGTGCTCTGCTTCACTTCTTGTTGGATGTGTGTGGAAAATTAAGTGATGATCCAATCTGACAATTCCATATATCATCAAGTAAGCGGTCACCCGGTCACAAGATCTTTGTTTCTGAAAGTTGAACCTCCTCTACTGGACCCACAATCATCACATCAGATTGTTAGCATTTCATATTCTTGGTACTCTGAATCTGGTTGCAGACCAATTATCTCGGCATGACACTATTCTTCCGACAGAATGGTTGTTAGATCTGTTGGTGTTTTCATAGTTATGTGCTCATTGGGGTATTGCCGGGTGTGGATGCTTTTGCCACACAACTCAATACATAACTTCTCTGTTTTTGATCTCCCATTCCTCATCTTTTGGCAGAAGGTGTAGATGCTCTCACTAATAACTGGAATGGATATTACTTGTATGCATATCCTCCTATTCATCTGCTTCCCAGAGTCCTTTCTTTGATTCAGACCACTCTGTGACATGTGCTCTTAGTGGCTCCGTTTGGCCTGCTCAGACTTGGTTTCCACTTCTGCACAAGCCTTTGGTGTCACCTCCACTTCCTTTGCCATTGACTCCCATGTTCCTTCGTCAATCTGAATCGGGCGTGCACCATCCATCCACTCCTGCCCTTCAGCTTCACACATGGCTTTTGTCCAGTCCATGGCAAGACAATCTGGATTTTCCAGGCATATTGCCTCTTTGATTGCCCATCCTGTATGTCCTTCCTCCTTGGTGGTTTATCAGCATAAATGGTATACTTTCCACTGCTGGTCACTTTGCCAGGTATATCGTCTTTCACAAACTTCCCTATCACAGTTGACTGCATTTTTCACTTGGCTCTTCGATAGGGGACTGTCAGTTTCCTTGACTGCCAGCTATCGAGCTGCTTATCTTGCACATTCAAATTTACTGAGTTTCCTCTGACTTCCAATCTCCCGTGTTGTCTTTGTTATTTCATTCCTATTCCCTTTTCTGTCCTCCCTGCACTTTGTCTTTCCCAGATTGGAATCTCAGTGTTGTCCTTCACGCTCTCACTCTTCCTCCATTTGAACCTTTGTCTTCATGTTCCCTGTATCACTTTTCCTTAAAATCCCCATTCCTCATATTATTGGTTGTGGCTGGCAGTGTTCTGAGATCTTTGTGATTGAGGCTTGTTATGTGCTATTCCACAATTCCTATGTTATCCTCTTCCCTGACCATTCGTTTTTCTCCAAGACATCTGCTGCTAAGGAGGGTAATTCCACTTTTTCTTTCATTCCATTATCCTCCATTTCCCACATTTATGACTGTTCTGATCTTGATCACCTCCTGTTTCTGGACTGGACCCTCCAATGGTATCTCACTCGCACTACTCCCTTCTGTGGTCCCATAACTGTTTGTTTCTCCCATGTCAGAAGTGTCTCTCCCATTACCCTTACAAGTTGGATTCACCAATTAATTAGGCAAGTGTACTATTCCCTTTCATGTGAGGAGTGTCACATTTTTAGGGTATGTTCTGATCAAATCAGTCACCTCACCATGTCCCTGGCTGCCCTTCTCCATCTTTCTTTGGAGGTCATTATTGGGGCCAGTATGTGGACACCATCTCATACCTTTGTTTCACATTATTTACATCTTGGGGCTGTTTCTTGCTCAGTGGGTTTTTGTTTACATCCAGTTGCAATCTTACACATCACGGTGTCATTATGACTGGTGAATACTAGATTTTTGTTATTTTTTTACTTACAGGGTCATTTTTGCTAGTGTATTGTGGATCCCACTCTGTGGCGAGTGGTGCCTGACAAGGTATATATTTTTTTGAAAATCTGCACTGTTCATCCTGTGACTGTGCTTGATGTCAGTTACATTGTAGCTCTTGCTACCATGGACCTGATGTACAATTCCAGATGCTGCCAGGTTGTGTGTCTCCATTCAATTGTCATCTATGCTGAAACAATTATCTTGGAGGATTAGATGTTACACACCATAGAGATGGGGTGTTCCATAGGACTGCTAGTAGTCCTTTCTAGTGGTCTTTTGCTTCAAAAATATGTTCTTCCCAGACTGTACACTCATGGACACACGTGATTAAAGCAGACAGAGATTGCTGCTCATCTTTGATGCTCTGTGGCATTGAGACTCTTCCTACCATGGATCTGATGTACAATTCCAGATCCCGCCGGGTGTTGGTTGATCGACTCAGTCGACATGGTAACTCTGATTTTAAAAATAGGGTATCATGGTCACCTGTTGCACTTTCTCCAGTGATGCAGCCCTTCCGGCTCTTTAATGTGTTTTTCTCTCCTTTCTTCTAGTGGAGTATGGAAGTCCTTGCCACTTACCAGTTCATAGCCTCCTGAGTGATGCATCATTCCACTCAGTTGAGAGTAGGGCAGTGGAATTCTGCAGGTATAAGTAGTGTATAGCACTTCCTACTGCAGACTTGATGAGCAATTTCAGATTCTGCCAGGTTTTGTTTTAACATATATATATATATTTGGCAGATTGTTTTCTCTCACAGTGGCATTTCTCCTTCCTACCATCCTGGTGAGTCTAGTTTTGGTTGGAGATGGCCTGGTTATGATTAGAATCATGTGTAAATGGCATGACACCCTTCCTACCATGGACTTGATGTACAATTCCAGATACTGCCAGGTGTTGGATGAGGTCAAACTACCACTATGGTCTGTTGTGCCATAGCCACTTGACACCCAGGGTCCCATTAATCAGTAATACATATTATGGGATTCCTTCATGTTTTTTCACCTTTTATGTTCGCAACAAAGCCATAAAAAGAGCAAAATGTATACTTGGATCAGATGTGGTGTTCATGGTCTCTCTTTGGGCATTTCCCAAAGGGGTGGATAATTTTTTCACTGGCCCTTCCCTGTTCAATATGGGATTCTATCTTTTTGTGAGAGGAGATAAGATATTGGATTGGAAATTAACATTTTCCTAAACTGAAAATGTATTTCCGATAGATACTTTACCTCCTCTCACATTTCCCACCCAGCTTCCCCACTTTTGCTGATATGTGGTGTAGGTCTTCTGACCAGTCTTGCTGATTACAATAGTGGTTGTGTCGTGCTCCTATTGGTGGAGAGCTGTTGCAAAATAATTTATATGTGGATATGCAGAAGCAGGAAGTGGAAGGCTATTGGCAAGTGTTGAAAATCTGTGCTGATAGAGGGCAATACTAATCGAGAAAGCTATTTCATGAGTGAAGATAAGTATATATTGGAAATACATTATCAGTTTATGAAAATGTTAACTTTTGTGTTATTTACTTGTAACAGTTTATATATTCTTTCATTCAATATTTTGAACTATTGCAAACATTTCAGTTTTCATTTTTTTATAGAATTATGATATTTAAATTTGGCCTTCTAAGTTGTTTGAGTCCATCATAGATTTAAAAACATAATGTTTTCAACTTCTTTATTTTTCTTTTGTCACATGTTAGGTTGAAGATGAAACAGTGCTACATAATATTCCATACATGGGAGATGAGGTTCTGGATCAAGATGGAACTTTTATAGAAGAACTTCTAAAAAACTATGATGGCAAAGTTCATGGAGATAGGGAATGTAGATTCATAAATGATGAAATTTTTGTAGAGTTAGTTCAGGCATTACAAGTCTATGGAGATGTAGAAAATAATGCTGAGAAGAAAGAGAAATCTGAAAAAGACAAGCTGCCTGATCTCAAAATTTTGCCAAGAAAACCAATTTCAAGAAGTAGTTCTATAGATGGAGAACAGTCAGGGCAAAGTAAGTAGCATGTCTCTTCTTTGTGGGATTAAAAACCTATTTCTTTTAAAATAGAATCAACTTTTAACTCTTTCCATATATGTTTGGGCAATGTGATCAACCTTGTAACCACAAAGTAACCATCAGAGTTTCCATACTATAACATCTAATATGTTGTTTTTTTTCATGAAATTTGCAAGGCTTTCAGTAAACATTACAAGTCTCTTGTTCATGAAAAACCACATTTTATAATTAAGTGTTTTTAGTAAGGATTTAACCATGATTATTTTATTGATGAATATATGAAATCAGTGTTGACTGCTCCAAGTGCAAAGTGATTTTCATGTTAAGACTAAAAATACTTTTCTTCATCTGAAAACTTTCAAATTTCATATGTTTTAACTCTAGAACCTCTTAAATAAATACCAAACGTTTTTTGTCAGTAAACTTTGTATTTTATCTGTTATATTCTATACCCTAACTCTATTTGGACTCTATCAATTTTACTGATCTTGTAACCGACATATAAAAAATATGAAATAAACCTAAATTACCCTTTTTTTTCTTTCTAAAATGACTACAGATTGTAACAGAAAACTAATTGTTTATTCTAAATAGCTTAAAGCTTATAACAGTCTACATTTATTTGTACCTACTTTTTTGTTTTATTGTCCTTTGAACCATGTCTAACTGATAATCCTGCCATACAAGTTATAAATCATTAAACAAACATGTAGCTTACTTGCAATATTGAATAACATAATGCATGAGCTGCTTCTAACCATACTTTGTGAAGAATTTTCATTATTTTACCTCATCTAACTTTATCTAACCTAATAAGTTTCATATTTTTACATTTTAGTTATTTTAGATAAAAAAATATACATGAAAAACAAGAAATATAATACTTTTTATCTTTTATTCTTATGCTACTTTTTTATAATGATGGTACTAGCATACTAAATAATTTTTATTTCTTTAAATAATGCACCTAAGTGCACAGAATAACAACACATACAAAGCAAACAATGTCCTATAACTATTAACTATTATGATTTAACTGACTTTCTAACTAAGACAAGAGGGGCTTAAATTAATTCCCTTAACTGCTCGATCTGAACACTATGAGATAAACTTTGAAACTGAAGATGAAATTGGGAATATTCTGTACTTAAAACAGTGTAGCATTATACGTCATTCAATAAATTAAAACTTTGCCTTTCTATTGGTTATAAATGATATAGTATAAAGTGTCAGAGAGAATTATTGGCAATTTGTGAAAGAGAGGATGTGTTAGATTGGAAATTGGGTCTGTTTTTCTAGTTTATGATTCTGTAAACAAATAAGACTAAAGACTCTAAAAATTACATTGCCTTAGTAACATCTGTATTATAATTTGTAATTTACATTAAATTCTGTACTTTTGGGAAGGGTGATAAATATATTAGAGAAGGGGGAAGACCTATAGAATAAATGTCATGATTCTCATACTTGCAAAATACTTCCTTATAAAATTAAGAACTTAAAACATATATAATAGTAAAATGTGGTTAATTAGATATGTTTTGATGCCAAGTTTATTCATATACATTGATAATAAAGTATTTTAATTAAAGTTTGAATGTAATTCTGTAAAAGGTCGTGACATGCGCACTTTGACCTACCCATAACGAGAAGGTTAAAAGGGGAAGTAATAGTAACTTTGCCAAATAATAAAATAATCTAGACATACAGTGCCTATGAATAGTCTTTTTTTTTTATCAATGCAAGATTCTCTATTAAACTGAAGAGAATGAAAGGATGGACAAAAATACTGTTGGCAATATGTATATTTCATTTTCACATTTCAAACAGACTCTTGTTTAAGTTTAAAATATTAAAACATGAAACTGACAAATTTGAGACTGACGTAATTTTTGGTGACTAATTTTTACTCTGAATTATATTAATTCATAACCTATTAAAAATTGTTCTAAGTTAACTAAAATGCATTGGCTATACAGACTTGCATTTAAATGCCTTACAAAGATCGGAAATACAGATACAACACAGAGTAGTTGACAGCATCTCCATTTCTGAGCTTTTTAATATGTGACATTACTAAACAGTACTACCATCACATTATTTTTTGTTTGATTAAGAAGCAAAATCTTAAAATTAATTAAACAAATTGATGTGCTTTTTTTTGTGTAATTAAGTACAAAGTAAGAATTCTAAATTATTAAGAAACATTTAGTGTGACGCTGCTACAGATGTGCTATTATTTCCTCTAATGATTTGACAGAGCTATGATGAATGATGTTGAGCTTGATTGAAGATGGGTTAGAGGACCATTTGATGTTCTTCAGATATGGTTCAACAAATGTGTCAGTTGATGCTTCATAGATGTTGTAGTGTAATTTCTGTTTTATGAAATAACTAAATGTTAACATGCACATGAATTCTGCAAATGTGGTTACAAATACTATCACATCCCTGAGACTTAGAGTGGTAGTTAAAAATCAAAACGTTTTATGTGGTGCAGTATTTGGCCTCAGAAGCTATTAATTATGTCAGATTTGTAATGCTTGAGATTACATGCAGTGCACCTGAACATTTTGAATGAGTATCTGAAAAGTTAGAGAAACTATAGTTGAAAATTGTATCTAATCCTTAACTTTCGTTACTAAAAGAAATAAAAAGCATCATAAATCCGTACTAATGTTTTGTTTATATTTTTCAGATGATAAGAGATCTGCAGCTGAAATTCCAGATATCATATTTGCAGCCATTTCTTCTGTCTTTCCTGATAAAGGATCTCCATCTGAACTTCGTGAGAAGTAAGACTCTCATTATTTGACTTTTTGGTGTTTTTTGAATTATGCGGTTATAAATTTTAAGTGTATAAAACAAGTTTTGTATATGTATATATTCTTATATTTGTTTTCTTCAATTACTATCATATTAATTAGTGTTCCTTGGATATTTTACAATCTTTGTGAAAAGCTAGCGACTTTAAATTTTATTGTTAATTGTTCTTTAAGTTTTATTTTCTGAAATAGAGAATGTAACAAACATTTTCTGATTTTTATGTCTTCAAGTATCCTACACTATTTTAATAGCCTTATATGTATTTGTAAATTATATTAATAGTTGTACACTTAGTGTATACAGTATATACAAGAAATACCAAAAACTGTTCAGTACATATATTCACTTAGTTACCATCAGTATCAAAGGTTGTGTGACAAATACAACTGTAGATATATTTTTTTTCTTTATTGGTGATAATAGTAATAATAGTGTTAAAAAAGAAAACTTTTTAACTCTTGTATTGAGATAGATTTTCAAAAATTGTTTGTTCCAATCAGTATCAGAACATTTGAATAAAAAGGCTTAATACATGTGTTTGTGTTCTTTGGTAGATGTCTACATTATGATGAGCAACAGTAATTGTATAAAATGGAATACCATATGATATTTATACTTCATAAAATTTGACATTTCAAGGCCATTACCATTAACTTAGTATAGAAAAGAAAAAAATAATTCGGTGCTTGAAATTAACACTGGTTAGTTTTTTTAGTTTGTTACACACTCGAAAAAATGTATAGTACACATTTCAGAAGGAAAATTCACAGATTTTCTCTATCGACTATCAATACATCTGTGATACATGCATTTCAGTCATTTATATTACAAGATTCTGAATACAGAAGGTCACTGTAATTGTGATGAACAAGACTGTTTCACTTGCTGGTGTCATGCCAGTTTTGCAGTCCTCATTTGATATTTATTTCATACCTATCAGGAAATGGTGGATAGCAAGACTTATTTTTATTGGTTGCCAAGACAGCATTTAGTGGTTGCTCATTGTAGGTGATAATAAAATAGAATCACATAAAATGCAGATGATTTTCCACATATGTCTTATTTCTTCCATGATTAAAACAATTCTTAGACATATTGGCTTTTAACTCTTCATTAGCTTTTGGCATTTAAACAGTAACTTTTAATTAATAAAATATTTTTTTTTCTTCTTAAATATAGGGTGGACACCAATTTAGGGTACTGTAAACTTTGTCAGTCCAAGCAGTTATGGCCTAGATACACCAGTTTTCACCCAAACCAAGCAGGCACTGAGTTATTAATGTGTTTTAGTGTATGCAGACACTATTATATTGATGTTTTCGTTAGCAAATAATGCTGTGTTGATGTGTTTTGCTCAACAGATGGTCCTTGATAACACTACTCTGACATTTGGTTGCACTATGCTTAATATATATATTGTAGTTTTCTTAGGTTCTTGATGTTTCATATTGCTTTCCAAACACAAGTATATTCATGTGTTGTATTACTGCATAGACACTGTTATATTAATATGCTTGGCAAATAGTGAATTCTACTTTTATTTTGTTATGGTTTTGTTTATCATTCATTTATTAATCCTTCTATTATTTAGTGCAACTATGAATTTTTAGTTATATTAAAGTGATAACTCACCTCCTAGCTAGAGCATGTTGAAGTTGAATATGTTTGTATTACGAAACTGGCACAAGCTTCCCCTAATGATGACGTATAGATATTAATGTTGTGAAAGATTATGTAAATTAGCTAGTCACATGAGATGTAAGCTCATGGTCTAACCACTAAATAAAAATTATTCCTTGATCTTAAATGAGTTAGTTCATGAGATTTAATTAGAATGAATTATTGCTAATTGTTGCTAGATTTTGTTATTGATTTTGAGAAGTGGTTTAATTTTGAAATATTTGTTTTTTGTTATTGGGTTTTTTCTTCTTCTGGGTGATATTTATATTGTATTGTTTAAAAATGTTTGTATCATGTCCCGGCTAGTCATGGATTTACTAACTTTTTTTTTTTATATAAGTAATAAAATTTGTATTCTGATATGATATCTTACCACTATTGGTGGAAATTTTTGCTTGCCACTATCCTTGATACTCCCGCTTATTTCTACATCCTAACATGCAAATGATTATGCAAACCCTCCACCAATAGGAGTGCAGCTGTTAACCACTTCTCGATTGGCAGTCTTATTGAATAGATGTGTTTTCTGTTGTCATTACAGTTTAATAAATTGTTTTTTTTGTTTGATCCTGGTTGTAGTGGCATTTGTTTTAGTCTATTACATGTTTTAGTGTTATATAGACATCTGCTTTGTTTGCATGTTGTAGCATTAGTGTCCTTTTATTAGTATTTTGTAGTGTTTTGCATAGACACTGGTATGTTCATATATTTACAGACAGACATATTCTTAATTTAGCATATGATAGTGCTCGGCAGACACTGCTGTGTTTATCTGTTAAATATGAAGAGACATAAATTAAATACAAAATATATTATTGTTTTCTAAAATATTTCAAGAATAATGGTGTATTACACTAGAAAAAAATGAAACTGTTTCTGAGTAATCTGAAGATACTGATTCTAAAAATCATGTTGAAAATTACTGATCACCTCTAGTTTTCGAGTTATGATAGATTTATTCAAAATATTCTTATATATCATGAAAATAACAACTTTTTCTTTAATAACTATTTATTCCTTTGGAAATTGCAGAATTGCAATAACTTTTAGGTCACCATAAATGTTCCACCTATGGTAATCATATTTGATGGCCTCAAGCATAATCTGCATGCTTTGATAAGTTTCCTTCATGTTCACAGCATGAACAACAAGAATCAATGGCTAAGTGTTCCCATTGTGCAAAAGTACAGTTTTCAGACTCACTTTAGATGAGTCAGTAAAAAGTCCTTTCTTAGGGATGACAATCCGCTTCCTATTTCTTCTATTTGTGTATCAACATTTATACAAAAACAAAGTATCTTGCAAGCTGTAGTGAGAAGCAATACTTTGATGGTGATTTCGATAAATTGAAACGCTTGTTCCTGCAGCTAATAAATTCCATTGCTGTAAACAAGAACCAAGAAGTTCCCCATACTGCTTTGATAGAGACAAGTCATGAATAGATCATTTAGTTCTTATTGTGTGATTAGATGAGGCAGTTTATATTGAGGTACCACAGGAAGAGAAAAATGAAGATGGATCATTGTCTTCTTTGCAGGATAACTATTCCGTTTTCCAATTCGCTGGTGGATGTGGCACTGGAAGACCATCCCTATGAGGTACTGGTTTCATTGCAGATGCAGTATCTGGATATTTAATGTATGGTTTAGTTTGCCTGAATATCCAGAAACATTGGTCATGCAAAAGTAAGTCAGTTAGATGATCTTTGGACTCACGCTATATCATTGGAACTGCAAATTGCATACTTGCTCTCTTTTTATTCAGCTACTGTGTCAAACCAGATATGCAAACTGTACAACACATATGTGGAACCCAATGTTTTTCTTGGTCCCCAATTTTACACCCAAAATAGTGGTAGTAAGCTACCTTTACTTTGTGTGTGATGTTTTTCCTTAGTGAAAATTTCCTGTGGTATATTTTCCACAAATGTAGCAGAAACTGTTTGAGTAATTTTTACGTTTTTGGGCTTTAGTTGAACTGGAGGAAGCCAGCATTTCATATGATTTTCTAGAAAATATAAAAGAACTTGTGTTTACAGAACTAGAGTTTGAAGTTTTGCAGAATTTGATTATATTATGGGTATGATGCAAAAAAGAAGATTGCACTTTGTTTTGACTGTGTGTGGAGCAAGGTGAAGTAACCAACTGAGTGAGAGAGAGGTATTTGACTTCATCCCTTTTATGTTTAGCCGAGGGACTTTTTGAATGTTCTAGCAAACTTAGCACGTGAGGGTTTTGTGATTTCTGTGCGGAACAGGTAAGCGTAGTAATGAAGCAAAAGTGGTGCAATTTGCTACAATTATATTGAGAACAAATAGTATATATGAACAATATATTTGGAATTTTACACCAATACAATATAGTCAGTGTTTGAAGTTATAAAAAATGTATGCCTTTTACCCACTAAACTGTCCAAGTAAAGTTAATTTTACAGCATAAATCTATTGTATTGAGTTGATTGCATGGTATTTTACATAGTGCTGATAAAATATTGAGATATTACAATAACTCAAAGACTAGAGGTGATGGACAAACTCTGACTACACTTTGAAATCAGCACCATCAAATTACACTGAATCAACTGAGTTTTCTCCAGTAGCTAATTTTTTGTTGTCCAGTGTTATTTCATGATTTACGTTTGATTTTATAATTTTTAGCCCTAGACATAGGGCCAGATAAGTTGCAGCCAATATTCTCAACATTCAATCAAAAGCAACTGCAAGTAAACAAAATTGGAAACCTTTCAGCTCCATCAAAACACTAGAGAAACAAATTGATGTTTAAAAAGAGCAGCTAGGTTGGGCCTTATGTGTCCCAAAACCTTTTGATATGAAATTCGGCTTTTTACAGAATGTAATTGCCAGAAATTAGAAGAGATTCTCCAGCAAAGTCTTCAGTCAAGTGTCCTTCAAGTAAAAAAAAAAAGATGAACTTGAAAACTTTGTACCATCTGACTCTACGGCTCAAGCCAATTAGTATCATCCTGCATACATATTATTTATATTTAGTATTAATAGTCTATGCTCATGTGTACAAAATAAAGACTATTTGATCCACCCCCCTTTTTTTATTTTAACAGAAAAACTATGGTACTAGGTGTTCTAAAAATCAAACTATTTCTACTATTGATGTCTATAGAAATAGTTCAATCACATCAATGAAAAAAAAAATGTGTAACTTCAATTCCAAACTTCTGGCCATTATACAGCATTCTGTTAAACTGTTCAATATGAGTTTTATGGAAAACCAGACAAAACTAGAATTCAGAGCAAGCTAATGCATTGTAGTAACAGTTTCTAATTAAAGATAAAGAACTCAAAAAAAAAATGCAAAAATTAAAATAACAATTTTGCACCTAAAAATTGAAGCAAATATAATAAAAATAATTTAAAAATTTCTTTCATAACTTAATAAAAAGCTGGCAGCTCTTACAATATGCTTATAACCATAGTAATAGGAACAAGCTTAGTAAAATCCCAGATTATTTCCATAGTTTGTATTTGCTGATGTCTTTAATAACATCTGCAGGATATATATGTCTGAATATCTGATTCATTGCTTAGATCGTTCACCTTTAGTGAGGTTCTTGTCACAATATTTAGTCAAGTAGTTTTGCTGACAAATATACAAAGTAGGCACAAAATTTTATACTATTTTAAAAAACTCCTCATCTTTGTTTCTTTGATGGAAGAGATGTTTGAAGCAATCTATTAAATTGTTTTGTCCAATTTCCAGAAGATTTCACTTCACATTTTTCAGATGTGTTACCTTCATGCTTTTGATTGCCAAGGAAGCAGATTGTGGTAGATCAATTATGCATTGGACTTAGATCTAAAATATTATCTCATTCAGATATGATCTTAGCAATTTCTTCATTCATTGCCATACTCTGCAAGCATACCTTAGTACAAAAAAAGTCTATGGATGCAACATGTTGTTAATATTCATTGAAGTCTTCAGGTAACAACACAGCACTCTCCATGCTTTCCAATTTTAATTTTTTTTAATACTTGATTGAAAGCTTAGCAAAAGGTGGAAAACTTGACAGTCTACGTACATTTTAATAAAGTCTTGGTAATGCTTGGAATGCTTATCAAATCTTTAGACAGTAAATTTAATCTGCATGCCAAACAATGGAAGATAACAAGATAAAGATACTTCTTCAAGAGAATATCTCGGGCAGATTTGATGTCGCAAGTATTGTCAGTCACAATAGGGCCAGCTTTATTTAAGTTGCTACCCAAAACATCAGTTACAGATTGGACTCTATACCACAATGTTTCTGTGAGGACAGCTTTAAAAATATAGCATCTAGAGTGGTGAACATGATGTTCATTAATTTAATAATTCCATTGAATATCAATTTAAGTTGTCTGTTGTCAAGGTATGTGATTTAACTTGAACAGTTTCTTTCTTCCAAGAGTATTTGTATATTCTGTATTATATGTTAAGCAAAGAAAGAAGAGTTGGTAGCATTATGGTATTAAGTCATCAAGAAATTAATGTCACTTTTTTTAGATGAAAAAACCCGAACAACTTGTATATCAAAACTAAACATTTATTAAATGAAATAGTCTCCATTCTTATCGATGCTTTTCCATCTTACAATCAAAGAAATCATTTGGCTTTGAAGCAAGAAACATGGTGATGTCCTCTTTAACACCTTCCACATTTGCATACTTCATTAATTAATACTTTTAATTGATACAATTAATACTTCAACAAATTATATCTATACTTTGTATATCATAACTACTATGTAAATGTGAATAAATGTTAATATTTTTTATGCATCACCCTATCTATATTTATAATTCAGCATTTTGTTATTTTATGGTAATGGGTAATGATCTTGTTTAAGTACTAATATAATATCTTCAGTTGTTTAGCTTATTTGACATAATCTTTGTTTGCCCATCTTAATGTTTACAGTGTATGAGAACACAATAGGGTATTAAAAGATGAAACTTTCTGAATGTAGAATAAATTAAAGTTAAAAGGTTGGTTTTTCAGAGCATAAAGTGTGGCTGAGGAGTGATTGTAATTTTCTGTTTTTGCTTTCTCAATGAACATTTACTGTCAACCTTGTTTTCTAACCCTAAATGGTCTAGTACTTGTATTTAGTTTCATTTCATGATTCCAGAACTCTTCTAATGTTATTACACCCTATAGTTTCAAATGACACTTCAAAGGTTGGGGAAGTGCTAAAGACTGATTGTATGTATTTCACTTTTTTTTTCTGTGTAAGTCACTAATGTATTACCAGAGACATCATGAATTTTCCTTCACAGGTATAGAAACCTGAGGGAGAAAAAAGACCCAAATGTACTTCCACCTGAGTGTACAGCCAACATTGATGGGCCTAATGCCCAGTCAGTTATGAGAGAACAGAGTATGCATTCTTTCCATACACTCTTCTGTCGCAGATGTTTTAAATATGATTGCTTCTTACATCGTAAGTGTGCTGTGTAATTTTTTATTTTGATGTTTTACAAAATAACTATTGTTATCAGTTTTTCACATTTTAAAAATACTGTTATCACTGCTTTTCAGCTTTTACAAAGTATTCAATGTTATCACTTACTTATCTACATTGTATGTTTGGCAAAGACATAGGAGTGTGTTTCAACTTTTTTTTTTCATTAGAATTAGTTATAATGATATCATGAAGTATATGTTTAATCAAAATATGAACAAACATTATTAGCTTAAGAAATTAATATTTTTTTGTTTCCTAAAATGTAATTTTGTTTACCTGTAAACATTGTCATCTTAGTAATTTGTTATTATTATTATTACTGTTATTTGAGTGTTTTGATATTTAGTTACAGAGTGGTGTAATAAAGGTATTGCTTAACAGTGAGTCCAGGGGCATAATAAGTTTCTTTTTTGTACTAGCCTCAAACTGGATATATCAGATATAGTGTGGTTGGTATATTATTATATATTCTTCTTCAATCATAAGTTCTTAGAGTTACTAATATAGTCTTCTCCTGTTGACACTGTGGCTGCATGACCTGCTCCAAGAACAAGAAGACTAGCTTGGCAGTTTTTCTGTTCTTTTGAATGACAATTAAAGTTAATTCAAGTAAAAATGAATAAATAATATTGTGTTATTGATCCTAACCCTAATTCTAGTTTGAAAATGATTTATCTGTAAAGAGGGATTAAAAATATCCAAGTAAAACTATTAGAAAACAGAATAAATGATATCAATAAAATCTAGATTTATGATAAGTAGAGTGTAGATTTCTAGATAATGTAATACCAAAATGAACTCATCTAATTCCACTAACATTATTCTATGAAAAGAGAATAAATTTATTATATGGTCTAATATGCAACACTCTTTGGTCTCCGTATCCATAAGTGCATTTCTCAATTGTTCCAGTTCAGTAGATAATTACCTAGATTTATTTGTCTGACTTAAGTAAAGCAAAAATAAATATTCTAATGTAATATATTAACTTACTTAATGCAAATAAAATTTGACATACATGTTGTTAATATAATACAGCATCAGACTATTTATTTTTGTGTATCAAATTTTATTTGACTTCATGATTCAGCACCATAGGATTGTACCAAACAAAACTACTTACATTAACTAGACTTGTTTTATATTAAACACAACTGTGAGGTGATCAGAGCTGGGAAATTAAACGTTACCCTTTGAACAGTTATTAATTCTAGCACAACTAAATGTTCTGATACTGATGCTTTGAAAAATGATTCAAAGTGTTAAAAACTATTGAAGTGATTAAACAGCTGAAAACAGTTACATGTACACATTCTCCAACCCTTGATGTTTACCTATGTAACAGTCAATGACCCATAAAGAACATGTGAAACTTCAAGGGAATATCTTGAAACCTTTTCCATAATGGTACAAATAAATGACACTTTTCTCAGCTTTGTACCCATTCCTAAAGACTGATATACTTTATTGAACCAGTACAATCTTGTAAATAAACAGATGATATATTTGATTTTAAAAGCTCTGCTCTCATGATATTATAAAAACACTTGAAGGAAGTAAGGCTGCTTGCACACACTACAAAATTTGGAAAATATTTTGTTACTCTAATTATTTTTATTGCTTATGAAATAGTAAAATGGATTTTTTTTAATTTTGTGCCAGTAACTTTTTACATTTGAGTACAAACACTTTAAAAATACATTCAGTTTAAACAAGGGCTAAAACTTTATAAACAAGGATAAAGTATTCAGTAGAATTTTTGAATACAAATTTTAATTCTGATGCGATATCTTACCTCCTTTCACAAATAGCTTTTCTCAACTTATGCTGCCCTCTATATGCAAAAATTTTTGCTAGCCACTAGCCTTGATACTCTTACCTACCCTCACGTATGTTCACATGAGACATCTGCATACCATCATGCAAATGATCATGCGGCAACCCTCCACCAATAGGAGTGTGACACAACTACTATTGCCACTAGTGCCCTCTCTTTCATGCAGCCTGCAATCATTATTCGATTGGCAGTCCTACTGATAGGATGTTTCTTTTTTCAAATTCGACTAGATTAATTGCTGGTCTTTATTTTTCTCATTTACTACTTCTTTAATTTTTATTGTTCTTGTTCTGGAATGTTATTCCAAACATGCATTTTTTGTTTTAAATTTTTGACTTACATTTGGAACTTCAACTGGCATCAGGGCATGTTTTTTCTGCTAAGGAAGTAATGGCTCTGTTCAAAGGGAGTTGAATACCTTTATACAGTTTTCTGAGTTGCCAATTGACTGTCCTCTATCACGATGTGAGGGTATGCCTGAACATGAGGATGTTTATTTTGACAGTCTGTTCCTTCCTCCTGCCTATGCCTAACTGTCACGTTTCATTTCAGGGGAGGTTCCCAGTCCTCCTCCTCTCTTTGTTGACTTAATAATTCAAGAGTGTTTTTTACTTCTTGGTGTGCAGATGTAGTCCATCGATCATGTTTGCTATTGAGTCCACTGAACCTTATTTCATTGTTCTTATGTTATTCTTTTTTTACTGTTATTTACTTCTCAAGACTTTAGCTGCTCGGGAGGATACTTTCACCTCCACACTCATCTTCCTTTCTTCCATATCACACTTTTATGACCATCCGACCGTGATTGCCTGACAGGTCAATGGGACAGAGAAGGATACCAAGGAATAAACAAATGGAAATGGGAGCACGGAAGGAATCAGTGCATGCCACGTAAGAGTGGAGAGCCCTAACCTCATACAACCCTTATGGATTGGATTTGCTAGATTATTCACCTGGTTTATTTTTCCCTTTCACCAGATGTTTGTCATCTTTTCTTGGTCTCTTCACATCATATTCGTCACTTTTCCATTTCCCTGGCTGCTTATTTTTGTCATCCCTTTGTAGGATCTCATTTTTGCTGGTTTGTGGACCACTCCCCATACATTCACTGTTCATTATGTGTACCACATGGTCTTTTCCTGTTCTACAGGTTCTTATCTTCCTCCCATTTTGCACTCCACGATTTCTCTTTGTGTGGGTAAGTGCTCCCTTTTTTTCTCTCTTTTTTTTTTGCAAGGGCCCTTTTTGTGTCTCTAGATCCTGCTTTGTAGCAAGTGTTACCTGACCAGGTATACTTATTCTTAAATCTGCACTGTAAGACCTGTGTGTCATATATGTCCACCGTTGAGATGGGGTGTTCTGCAAGACTGCTTGTAGGGATGAGCAGTAATCCCTGTCTGCTTTACTCATGTTAGTTGATGAGTGTACGATCCAGGACGAACATCATTATGAAGCATAATACCACAAGACATACTAACATGAGTAAAGCAGACAGGGATTATTGCCCATCCCAGGTGATCTGTGTATTGCGGTCAATCTCTGGACTCTCCAACATGCTGTTTTTACCCTTCTTTTAGTGGTGTATGGGAGTCCTTGCCACTTGCCTGTTCATAGCTGCTGGGGTGGTAGACCATGGAGACTTCCTTCTTAGTGTGCTAAATCCCACTCAGTTGAGAGTAGGGCAGTGGTGTTCTGCTGGTGCAGATGGCATTGATGCTTTTCCTACTGTGGACCTGATGTACAATTCCAGATGCCATCAGGCATTAGATGATGCATTCTGCTAACAAGCAGTTTGCCTCTCTGGCTGAGTCACCTTTCTTCCTACCGTACCCCGGGTGTTGGTTCCTGGCAGATATGGTGATGGTTGGGAACAGTCACATGTCCTCACATGTGTGTGGCCAGGTACCCTCCTCCTACTGTGGACTGGAGGATACAGTCCCAATGCTGCCTTCAGATGGCCTGAAATTGCACCCCCACTTTGCTGTTCCCTAGATGTCAGTTCCAGGTGGATATGGTGATGGTTGGGTTGGAAGTCCCTCATTGTTTTTACCTTTATTGTGGCACATGGGTAAAGAGTATACTTGGCTCAGAAGTGGTGTGGTCTCACAGAGGGGGGTTGCCTTTCATTTATTTACTCACCCCATGTTCTTCCTTTGGGCACTTTCTAAAGGAGAATCTTCTTCTAATTGGACCCTCCACCAACTGAATGTGGGATTCTAGTTATTTGTGAGAGGAGGTAAGATATTGTATCGGAGGCTAACATTTTCCTGCACTGAAAATGTATTTCCAATAGATACTTACCTCCTCTCACATTTTCCACCCAACCTCACCACTTCTGGTGTAGGTTTTGTATGTACTGCCCAATCTTGAAGTAATTATGGGCTGCATTGGAAGTGACAATAAGACAGGAAAAAATTATGTATGGAATAATACTCCAAAACAAGAGGGATAAAATTAATGTACTAGTAAATGAAAAAAATAAAGACATCCAATTAATCTACTCAAATTTGAAAAAAGAAACATCCTATCAGTAGGACTGCCAATCGAGTAGTAATTGTGGGATGCACGAAAGAGAGGGCACTAAGGGAAGATAGGAGTTGTGTCACACTCCTATTGGTGGAGGGTTGCTGCATGATAACATGTAGATGTCTCTTGTGAATACATATGAGGGTAGGTGGAAGCATCAAGGCTAATGGTGAACAAAAAATTTTGCATGTAGAGGACCGTATAAATCGAGAAAAGCTATTTGTGAGAGGGAGTAAGTATTTATTGGAAATACATTTTCAGTGTAGAAAAATGTTAACCCTATCGGCCCGGGTGCACTTTACTTCGCATGACACAAAGTTTTAGTGTCTTACATTCAAAATTATATTAAAGTACTTTTTTGTTTATGTTATCTCAATTAGGATAGCATAAAATCTTAGAAAATAATCCATATTTTAATAGTATACAAGTTTTAAGTTCTTAATTCTGCAAGGAAATATATTAAAAAATCCTGAATTTCTGATATTGCGATGCACGTGATACATTTTGTCTTAGCATGTCATCATCCTTATTTTATCTATCACCCCTCGAAAATGTACATTTTGTCTTAGCATGTCATCATCCCTATTTTATCTATCACCCCTCGAAATTTGTACGAAATTAAAAATAAAATACTCTATAAAATTATTATTGCTCAAACAGACCATAATTTTTATAGCCTTCAATTTTGTTTGGTTACAGAGCTATCGATTAGAAAATCAGACCCCCCTCCTGCCACGCCCACTTGTCACATCCTCTCTTTCACAATTCGTTGATAGTTCTCTCTTACGTTTTATTATATATTACCTATAACCAATAGAAAATCAAGGTTTTCATCTATCAAATGCCGTATTGTGTAACGTTGTGTTCTGAACAGATAACCGTCAATTTCACTCGGAATAGCAACATCGTTCCCATGGGAAAGTTAATGACTAGCTTGGATGCATTTGTAACAACATTTGTCACATATTTAGAAAACTAGGAAAATTTTTAGAAGTAAGTGAATTTTTCTACTTTTTACATGTTATTAGTCTATATTCTTTGGTGTATTACTTAATTAAATAAAAATTGCTAAGTG